GTGATCGTTAATCATTTGGTGCTGCTAACATATTGTGCTTTGCGATTTCGTTTCATATTCTCAGAGATTCCGCTTGGTGATCGTTGTTCTTGGTGATTCTGTTCGGTGATCGTGGTTTCATTGTTGAATTGTTGGCGATTTCTAGATCGTGGGTGTTTCTTCATCGTTCGTTAGCTACTGCATGGTTTCCTGGTTTAGCTACCGCGTGGTTTCCTGGTTTGCTTCCCATTGTTTTACTATTTATTTAATTGGTATTATTAAATAAATTGGTTGCACGTGCACACTGGGTTTGGATTTATCCTATTTATTTAACAATACAAAGGGGTTATATCTAACGGCAATGGAAAATGAAAAGAATTTTTGTGTCCGTTTTACCGGCAAGAATTATTCTGCATGGAAATTTCAGGTCAAGATGTATGTTAAAGGAAAGGGATTATGGAGTCATTTAGATGGTGTTTCTAAGGCACCAACGGAGAAAACTGGTTTAGATGCGTGGGAAACTAAAGATGCTCAAATCATCACTTGGATTCTCAACAGTATTGATCCTCACATGATCAATAACTTACGCTCTTTTTCAACTACTCAAGAAATGTGGAATTATCTAAAGCGCATTTACAACTAGGGCAATTCGACAAAACGTTTTCAGTTGGAGTTAGAAATAGCCAACTACAAACAAGGTGATTTGTCTATTCAAGAATACTATTCTGGTTTTTTAAATCTCTGGGCAGAACACTCTGCTATTATACATGCTAATGTTCCCAAGACCTCTCTCGCGGCTGTTCAAGAGGTTTACAACACAAGTGGTCGAGATCAATTTCTCATGAAATTACGCCCAGAATTTGAGGTTGTCAGAGGTGCCTTGCTGAATAGGAATCATGTTCCTTCTTTAGATACATGTGTTGGAGAACTCCTAAGGGAGGAACAATGTCTTATTACTCAAGGAGCCATGTCTCATGATGCTACCATTTCCGAGCCTGTGATGGTTGCATATGTTGCTCAAAGTAAAGGTAAAAATCGTGATATGAAACAGGTTCAGTGCTTCTCTTGCAAACAATTTGGTCATATTGCTCGTAGCTGCAATAAGAAGTTTTGTAGTTACTGTAAGCAACAGGGTCATATTATCTCTGAGTGTCCCACACGTCCTCCACAACCAACACAACATTCAGTACAGGCATTCCATGCAAATCATGCGGTTAGCCCTTCCACTAATGGGGCATCAAACGATAGTGCTATACAACCTGAATTGATTCAACAAATGGTACTTTCCGCTCTCTCGGCCTTGGGAATTCAGGGTAAGTCTTCTAATGTTTCTCGCCCATGGTTTATTGATTCGGGTGCATCCAATCATATGACAGGTTCTTCAGAGTATTTGAACAATTTACACTCTTATCATGGTAATCAGAAAATTCAAATAGCTGATGGTAATACTTTATCTATTACGAATATTGGCGACATCAACTCTGATTTTCGGGACGTGCTTATATCACCTGGACTTGCGTCTAATTTATTATCTGTTGGTCAATTGGTAGATAAAAATTATGATGTTAACTTTTCTCATGATGGTTGTCTTGTGCAGGAACAGGTGTCGGGGAGAGTGATCGCGAAGGGGCCTAAAGTGGGAAGACTGTTTCCACTCCAGTTTATTTCTAATCATATATCTCTTGCTTGTAATAATGTTTTGAACTCTTATGAGGATTGGCATAGAAAATTAGGTCATCCAAACTCTGTTGTTTTGTCCCATTTATTTAAAAATGGTTTGTTGGGAAATAAAAATGTTTCTAATGCCTCTATTTCATGTTCTGTTTGCAAATTAGCTAAGAGTAAAACACTTCCTTTTCCATCTGGTGCTTATCGTGCTTCCACTTGTTTTGAAATGATTCATAGTGATGTATGGGGTATATCTTCTGTAGTTTCTCATTCTCACTATAAATATTTTGTCACATTTATTGATGATTATAGTCGTTTTGTTTGGATATATTTCCTTCGGTCTAAATCTGAAGTGTTTTCTGTGTTTAAGAAATTTTTAACATATGTTGAAACTCAATTTCAAGCAAGTGTTAAAAAATTTCGCTCTGACTCTGGTGGTGAGTACATGTCTCATAAGTTTCAGGAATACCTTCAACAAAAAGGCATCTTGTCGCAACGATCTTATCCCAATACCCCTCAACAAAATGGTATTGCAGAACGGAAGAATCGTCATTTTCTTGATGTAACACGCACATTGCTTCTCCAAGCTTCAGTACCATCCTGATTTTGGGTAGAAGCTCTTTCCACAGCTGTCTTCTTGATCAATCGTTTTCCTTCTACGGTTATTGAACTTGATTCTCCTTTCTTTCGTCTTTTTAAAATTCATCCTGATTATAGTGCTTTACATACTTTTGGGTGTGTGTGTTTTGTTCACTTACCTCTTTTTGAAAGGCATAAGCTTGGAGCACAATCAGTTCAATGTGCATTTATGGGATATAGTCACTCTCATAAGGGATTTGTGTGTTATGATGTCACTAACCATCGTTTTTGCATTTCTAGAAATGTGACATTTTTTGATAATCAGTTTATGTTTCCCTGTGTTTCTCCTGCCATTAATGATATTGTTACTCTTCCTAAGTTTTCTATTATGCCTCAATCTATAGAACATTATAAACCAGGTCATGTATATGTCAGAAAACAGACAGCGGGTTCCCACACCCCTTCCCGACATTGAACCGCCACCTGATCCTGTACCGGTTGAACCACGGCATTCTGGTCAAATATCTCGTGCACCAGATAGATATTCACCAGACAGGTATGATTCCTCACATACTTCTCTGACTTCCACACTCTCTAGCATATCTATTCATACTTGTTACTCACAGGCTGTTAAGGATGTGCGATGGATAAAAGCAATGAATGAAGAGTTTCAAGCTCTTCAAGAGAATTTCACATGGGATATTGTCTCTTGCCCTCCCGATGTAAAACCTATAGGTTGCAAATGGGTGTATTCTGTGAAATTAAATTCTGATGGGTCCCTCAACCGTTACAAGGCTCGTTTGGTTGTGTTAGGAAACAAGCAGGAATATGGAATTGATTATGATGAGACATTTGCACCGGTTGCCAAAATGACAACTGTCCGCACGATCATCTCTATAGCTGCTTCTAGTGGTTGGACTCTTCATCAAATGGATGTGAAGAATGCTTTTCTTCATGGTGACCTGAGAGAAGATATTTATATGACTCCACCTCAAGGCTTATTCTCGTCATCTAAAGGCGTGTGTAAGCTCAAACGCTCCTTATATGGTTTGAAACAGGCACCTAGAGCATGGTACGAGAAATTCCGCTCCACTCTACTTGGATTCTCCTTTATTCAGAGTCAGTATGATTCATCTTTATTTATTCATAGCACATCTATGGGTATTGTTCTGCTTCTTTTGTATGTTGATGATATGGTTATTACTGGTTCGAATCATGCTTCCATTCAGCGACTTAAGCAACAGTTACAAGCCTCATTTCACATGAAAGATCTGGGTAATCTACATTATTTTCTTGGTCTTGAGGTTCATTCTACATCCAAGGGCATCTTTCTCCATCAACACAAGTATGCTACAGATTTGATTTCTATGGCCGGTCTAGAATCGGCTAACCCGGTAGATACTCCTCTTGAGGTTAATGTTAAATATCATCGTGATGATGGTGATCTTTTGCCTGATCCCTTATTGTATCGACAACTTGTGGGCAGCCTCAACTACTTGACTATTACTCGCCCTGACATATCTTTTGTTGTTCAACAAGTAAGTTAATTCATGCATTCTCCTTGTCATCTTCACTTGGTTGCGGTTCGTCATATAATTCGCTACTTAAAGGGAACCTCTCACCGCGGATTATTCTTTTCCGTTGGAATTTCTCTTCAGTTGAGTGCTTATAGTGATGCTGATTGGGCAGGGTGTCCTGATACTCATCGATTTGTTACTGGTTGGTGCATGTTTCTTGGTTCTTCATTGATCTCTTGGAAAAGTAAGAAGCAAGCAAGAGTTTCTAAATCTTCTACTGAATCAGAGTATCGTGCCATGTCTGCTGCTTGTTCAGAAATACTTTGGCTTCGTGGTCTTTTGGCTGAACTTGGATTTCCCCAAACAGAGTCAACTTCACTTTATGCTGACAATACAAGTGCCATTCAAATTGTTGCAAATCCTGTTTTTCATGAGCGCACCAAACATATCGAAGTTGATTGTCATTCAATACGTGACGCCTACAATAATCGAATAATATCACTTCCTCACATCAGTACTCAGTTGCAGGTTGCAGATATTCTTACCAAGGCAGTTCCACGCCCACGACATCAGTTTCTTGTTAGCAAATTGATGCTCCTTGACCAGCCGCATCAATTTGAGGGGGGATGTTAATCAGGAAATAATCAAACACATTTATTGTGAATAATTTACATTCATAGAATAGGAAATTGCCATTATAAATTGTAATTAGTTATTATGAGTTGTAATTAGTCATTATGAGTTGTAATTACCGACACTATTATATATAGTATCAAATGCAATGAGAAAGACATGAATTCATGACAAACCACACTAAAAAAATCTAAATTTGTCTCTACATAACTCTTTTATATAGGGGTTGATCTCGACAAAATTTAATGGACACAATTAAAGTTAAAATATTATTTGTTTAGCAAATTCCAAAATATTAGTAATGTTAATTGCATAATATTGCAACATGATTTATCACATTAAGATCCGAGAATGAAGGCATTAGCAACTTATCCACTACCTCAATGTTATTCTTCTTGTTTCAACATTAAGACATGATATGTTTTTGTCCATACAATATTTTTCAACTCCGTATACACTGGAGATCAATTCCTAGGCAATACATACTACGTGGACACCTAAAAATATCGTACTCTTCCGTTTTTGCATGCAGTCATTCTCTTCTTCAATTGCATTTCCAAAGAAAGCATACACATATTATAATAAACACAGAAGAAGATTAACTAGCTAGCTAGGGAATTCACCATGAGTTGGTCTTCCTTTTATCACACAGCCTCCAGGGTTTTTCATGAGCATCCCTCCTGGTCTAAGTCTCTTGTTGTATGCACTATCATCAGGTTATAATATATTGATGTTGTTATTATCGTTTCTCAAACTTGTTGCCCCTTTATCTGCGTACAATCTTGATTATATATATAATTTTTTGGGCTGCAGCGGTGGAGGTCTAGCGGCATATGGTGATACCATATCAGCATATAGCGATTCTGGTGATCAATTCCCAAAAAAGAAGGTGGTGGTTCTTGGAACTGGTTGGGCTGGAACCAGTTTTGTGAAAAGCATGAAAAACTCCTCCTATGATATTCATGTTGTTTCACCACGTAACTATTTTGCATTCACTCCTTTGTTACCAAGTGTCACTTGTGGCACGGTCGAGGCACGAAGCATTGTTGAACCTATTCGAAATATCAGCAGAAAGGTATATCAAAGCCACTTTATTTATGCAGAGACGCATATTCGAACCTGTAATTCCTCTCTGTGTCTAGAACAAATAAAAAAACTTAAGCACTTTGGATATTTTGCATGCCCTCCAATAGATAGTGATAAATTATGCATAATATTTTTAACTTTAGTTAATATAGTTTACAAGAGGATGATTCGCTTCACGCCCTGGTACAGAGTGGTTTAGATGTTCAATTCAGTGAAGCTGAATGCTATAAGATTGATCCAAAGAACAATAAAGTTTACTGCAGAGCTACTCATGACAAAAAGTTTGGTGGAACAGAAGAATTTTCCCTTGATTATGATTACTTAGTAATTGCTATGGGAGCTCGTTCGAATACCTTTAATACACCTGGTGTTGAGGAACATGCCTACTTCTTGAAGGTAATTAAATTTTATGATGCATATACATGCAATTGTAATTGTGATGTCGTTGTCGAGACCTTACAACTGTTATATAGTGGCCGCAATTTGCAGTTGCAGATTGGAATTTAGACTATGGTTATAATATGCTGAAATTACTTGTGAATTAGGAAGTGGAAGATGCTAAAAGAATCCGTCACAAAGTGATTAACCTTTTTGAAAGAGCGAGTCTTCCTTCTGTACCGGTGGAAGAGAAGAAAAAGCTTCTCAGTTTTGTAATCGTTGGTGGTGGTCCAACTGGTGTAGAGTTTGCAGCAGAGCTACATGATTTTGTGCATGAAGATTTGTCCAAGTTATATCCTTCTCTTAAAGACCATGTCAAGATTACTCTCCTTGAGGCTGGTGATCATATCTTAAACATGTAATGTATATTTTTACCTATATTTCTATACTTAGGCAAATTGTTCTAAATTGCAATTGCGTTACGCTGGTGATCATTTATTGATTCGTTACAGGTTTGACAAGAGAATAACCGAATTTGCTGAAGGAAAGTTCAAAAGAGATGGAATTGATGTGAAATTAGGATCTATGGTTGTGAAAGTTGGTGAAAAAGAAATCTCATCGAAAGAAAGAGGAAGTGGTGAAGTTGTTACTTTACCTCATGGGATGGTAGTTTGGTCTACTGGTATTGGTGCTCGTCCTGAAGTAGTTGATTTTATGAAGCAACTTGGCCAGGTTCGTTTACGCGCGAATTTGTATTCAAAAATTAGTCTCAAAGTATTTCAAATTTCGCTTGCTTTTAATAGTTTGTATGACAGATTAACAGGCGCGCATTGGTGACTGATGAATGGCTTAGGGTGGAAGGGTGTGACAACGTCTATGCTCTAGGTGATTGTGCCACTATTAATCAACGTAAAGTTATGGTACGCGCAATGTATATATTCATTGAACAAACTTTTAAGAAAAAAGACCTTACAATGCTCTTTTGGTTTTTCATAACATGTTAGTATACTGATTTTACCAGGAAGATATAGCTGTGATATTTAGCAAAGCGGACGAGGACAATTCCGGAATGTTAGATCTTAAAGAATTTCAAAATGTTGTTGGAGATATTGTTGAGAGATATCCACAGGTGGACATTTATTTAAAAAGTCAAATGAAAGACATGGCTTCTTTACTAAGTAAATCGCAGGAAAGCCCTACTACAATTGTGGACATTGAATACTTTAAACAAGCTCTTTCCAAAGTTGATTCTCAAATGAAAAATCTTCCCGCAACCGCTCAGGTAGGTTCATATGTTTTCGATATATACTAGAAGAGATGATTGAATTGTTTTGTATTGATTCAATGATAAGATGTGCATAACAATGAATACTTATACATTTTATATAGTTTTCAAGATCAATTAACAAATCTTAACTAACTTGTAACAAATAATTCTAGGTAGCTGCTCAACAAGGAGCCTATCTTGCAGACTGTTTCAATCGCATGGAATTGTGCGAGAGATATCCAGAAGGCCCTCTAAGGTTTAGAGGAACCGGACGTCATCGTTTTCATGCTTTCAGGTACAAGCATTTTGGACAATTTGCTCCTCTTGGAGGAGAACAAACTGCAGCTCAGCTTCCAGGAGATTGGGTTTCAATTGGTCATAGCAGTCAGTGGTTGTGGTATTCAGTATATGCAAGGTATAGTTAGAAACTTAATGAATGAATGCTGGAAATTGTATATACGCTTTGGTTTCATCCTCTAATGATTCTTTAAAATATGCAGCAAACTAGTCAGCTGGAGAACAAGAGCTTTGGTGATATCTGATTGGGGAAGACGATTCATATTTGGCAGAGACTCAAGTCAAATCTGAGATCTAGTTCAAAGCTTGAACTACATTTAATACCATACTTTATATATTTTTTGTTGACACTGCAATGCATCATACTGATAATTAACTTTGATCCATGTTTTTATTTTGTACTTTTGATAGTGACTAAAAAATTTCATTGAAAATTGTGATTTTCCTAACTTAGCATGGGGTATGCATCATCAATTTTGAAAGAAGAATGAATGTTAGAGTCTCAATGAATGATGAAAAAGGTTTTATATATGATTCAATAGGAAGGGGAAAAAAAACACTTCAAAAAGTTAATAAATTTTGCATTTCTTAAGTATGGAAACAATGTTTTAAAACCTTTTGTAAAAGTTAATTCTAAAACTCATTATTAATTACTAATCAAGAACAATCGTAAAGAATTGAAGGAGTCGGAAGTTCTAGGGAATAGTCGCTAATCTTAGAATAAAAACATAAAATTATAAGTGTAAAATCTGTCAGATAAGCTCTGGAATCTATCGGATAGAAAAGAAAAACTTTAGATTTTATTATAATGAAAGATAATTTTTATTGTTACGCAAAAGATCATTAAATAAAAAAAAACAAAGAAATCTTAATGAGTTTTTAATCTAAAACAAAATCAAATATTTTAATATAAAACAAAATTAAATCTTTTAATCTAAAACGAAATCAAATCTTTTAATCTTAAGCCCAATCAAATATTTCAATATAAAATGGAATCAAATCCAAAATAGAATAAAATCATAAATAGAACAAAATAGTAAGTTGCTGGTTTCGGACCTGAAACGAACTTAAATGGCTTAATAACTAAAGGTCTTTGCTAAGGAGGGTGTTAAACTCCAGAGTCAATTTCCTTTCCGAAAAGGTATAATATGAGTCATTCTGACATAGGACCTGAGACTTGCGCAAATCCTGTCAAACCGTTGTGACACGTCGCTTATCCTTCGATACGCGCACGTGTAATCAGCCCTCTTACATCAGTCTCCTTCATTTCTAAAGAACTCGACCTCGAGTTCTCTTCTTGATAAAAAGCTTCATCTAGTTGCAGCTTGTTGTAAGTACCAACTAGAAACCTCTATTAATGCTTAAATGTCATCACATCTTCTCCCACATCGAAAACTTTAACTTTCATGCATTTATTTCACACAGGAGGAAAATCATTTGGTAGCTCATTTGTGGTTAACTCCTTAAAATCTTTTAGGACCCCTAGCTCTTCTTATAGAATTTTTATTTTCTCATTTACATCACTCATCACCCCTTTAGTCAGTACTAAACATAAAAATTTAGTTTCTTTAATGGTCTCATCAAGCTCCTTTTCACTTTGTTTAATCACAAAAAAACTAGACTTCTTTCCTCCTGGATTCTTATCAAAGAGAAAAACAGGAGTCATTGCTAATTTATGTGTGCCCCATGTAAGCATCATCATATTATCCCGTACTCGATAAGTGATATCATTATCATACTACCAAGGTCTACTAAATAAAATATGACAAACATCCGTATCAAGATTTTCATCTTGTACATCATTGATTTGCAAACGTTCCAGCTTTTTATCCATGTCATGATTTCCATATTTTCTTACAGACATATTAGAAGCTAGTAGCTTTGAATTTTCACTTAAAAGACATTGCTCCTCAGATTTCAAAACAACTACAATTGTAAAAGGATTTTCACTCACTTTAATACAAGAATCAAATTGAGTTTAAATATCATTATTGTTGAGTTAAATTTTTCAATTGATTGTGAGACTCTCATTCCATAAACGCTCTTGTGCATCTTCTTCATATATATCAAATTCTTCATCACAACAATTTACTTTAGTATTCTCTGTTGCCCCAAATAGAGAAGAAAACTTTCAATTTTATTATAATAAAAGATAATCCTTATGATCACGCCAAAGATCTTTAAATAAAGAAAACAGAGAAACCCCAATAAGTTTGTAATCTAAAATGGAATCAAATATTTTAATCTAAAACAAAATCAAATCTTTTAATCTAAAATGAAATGAAATCCTAAATAGAACAAAATAGTAAATTGCTGATTATGGGCCTGAAACGAACTTAAATGGCTTAAAAATCCATAGATCATTGCAAATTTGGTAGTTAAACACCTGAATGGATTCCCTTTCCGAAAAGGTATAATATGAGTCATTCTAACATCGGCCGCGAAACTTGCGTAAATCCTATCAAACTGTTCTGACATGCAATTTCTTCTTCGATACGCACAACCATCCATACTACATCAAGAATCAAACAACAATATTTAATCATTTAATTAAAAATGGCATTAGTTAGAGTGTTGATTTTTCTTTATAAAATCAATACAAATTAAAATTTTACAAGACATTGTTAAATTATAACAAACACTTTACAAGCGAAAATTCAGCTACTAAATAATAAAACACTTGGTGAACATAAAAAATAAATTTTTTACTCAATATGTATTTTATGATTTTAACACTAAGATCAAAACTTTTTGAAAAAAAAATCTATGTTATAGAAAAACATGTCAGAAATCCACAAAAATCTATGGAGAATTTCTATCAATCTTGATGAACAAAATTGTTATTACTAAACAATAATGAAGAAAAGAAAATAAGATTAAAGAAGAAAATAAATTAGGGTTTCTACAGTGTTACTCTATCCCCACAAACTGTGGAAAATCTTTATTCACTTGCAACTGTAAATTATGTGAATACTCAATGAATTACAAAAATAGGGGTTACTCCCTCTATTTATAGTTTTAGGTTAACTTTCTCCCTAATCCAAATCCCAAAACATAAAAGTCTGAAATACCTTTTTTTAGATCTAAGTCGAACTACTATGTGAAGCAAACTGCTTCGACACTTCGATAGCTAACACAACTCGACTACAACTTCGACACACATGGCTTAACTTCACACAGATTGTATTTAGCAACATGCTGCTTTCGACATAAGGAATTACAACTCAACACATCACCTAATTCATTGTGTCTAAGACATATAAATTTATCATAAATATTAGTCTTCTGAGCACTTCGACCTACACACAATTTCTCATGATGTATGTGTAGCGGTAGAAATATTGAGACTAAGCCATTGGATTGACTTAACTCGCACAAATCAAATAAAAATTGCCACTTTGCTTTATTGTTTCCAAAGGAAATTGGAAAAGAGCGAATAAACCCAAAAAAAAGAGAATCTAGGTACGGGGGTTGGTTATGCAAAGGAAAGGTATTAGTACCCTAAACATCCACGGTACTCCGCAGGAACCTCTTTGAAAATCTGCGTATTTTGGCTATAAAAGATGTATACAAAATAAGATGGTGGAGATGAGAAGAGAAGTATTTTTTATAATTTTGGCACCCGCCGCAGTTGTGAATCTTTAGTACCGACGTACCACCTTTCATGCAATAGAGGATCAGGGTACTCGTAGTTCACCTAAAAAATTTTAAACCACATGTGTGTTGGTTAATTTTAAGAGAAGGGACATCATCGTCATATCCGATGAGAAAACATACTTACTACTCACAAATATGAGAAATGAGAATTTGCATCATCTCAAAGTGGAGGATATAACTTGGAATTATTGTACACATACATGTCATTGTATACACATACATGTCATTGCATAAACAGGTTTCATAGCAGGTTTCTCATCTTCTTCAATGTTTATTTCAGGCGTTAAGAAATGGCTCTCGAACAAACTGTGAAAGACTTACAGACTCAGAAAGCACAATTCCAACAAATGATCATGGCTCTAGCCAAAGGGCAGGAGGAACTGAAGGCCCTGATTGTTAAAGACAAGGCTAAGAAGCCAAGAAGGACAGTTTGTGTGGTAAATCTGGGAAGAAGATTCAAGGGACCGTGAAAGAAAATGGTTGATCTGACTTCTTCATCCAAGGAAGGGGAGAACCAAGTGGGTGAGACAAGAGAGGAAGACCCTAGTCCAGAGGAATCTGATAATGACACTGATTACAATGAAGAGCAGTATCCTCCGGCTGACGAAAAGTACAAACAGCTGGAAGAGCGTCTGAGTGCAATGGAGATTTAGAAAGTGTTCGGGATGGACTTTGAAGAGATGGGTTTGGTGTCTGGGATCGTTATTCCGCCAAAATTCAAGGAACCAATGTTTTCTAAGTAGGATGGTGTTTTGTGTCCCAAGATGCACCTCCGATCTTATGTGAGGAAAATACAGCCTCACACTACTGACAGAGATTTGTGGGTCCATTTGTTTTAGGATAGTCTATCTGGAACTCAGCTAGATTGGTTCTATCAACTAGAGAGGGCCAATATCCATAATTGGTAAGACCTGGTCGCTGCTTTTTATAAGAAATATCAGTATAATGCAGACCTCGCTGCCACCCGTACTCAACTCCAAAGTTTGGCTATGGGTTCGAGTGAGGGTTTCAAAGACTACACTCAGAAATGGAGGGACTTAGCAGGAAGAGTCCAGCCTCCCCTGTCTGATAGGGAGATGGTGGATATGTTTCTGGATACCCTGTCTGACCCGTTCTTGAATCATCTAATTGGAAGCTCCTCGGCCGGCTTCATTGAATTAATCTTGACAGGGGAAAGAGTGGAAGCTGCAATTAAGAATGGGAAGATCCAAAAGGACTCATCCTCCAGTGCCGTGAGAAAACCATTCGCTGGGAAGAAAGAGGTTAGTGCACCATAAACGGAGTCAGGACAGAATTGAACGTCATCCAACAATATGGGCTGTCGTAATCCCTAAGCCTGCACCCACTCAACAGAGGAATAATCAGCAGAGAACAGAAAGGCCGGTAAGACAATTCACCCGGATAAATATGACTCTAGCCCAAGTTCTGCCCCATTTGTTAAGATCCAATCTGGTAACCTTGCAGGAAGCGCCGAAGAATCCCAACACTACCTCTCCCCGCTACAATCCAAATGCCTGTTGTGCTTATCATTCGGAAAGTCTAGGTCATGATACAAATGACTGCTGGGCTTTGAAAAACAAAGTACAAGACCTTCTCGAGGCGAAGGAAATTGAGTTTGACTCCCCTAAAATGCC